CCACTAGATTTTTCATGTATCCTTGTATATAGAATGTTGTTGTGCGGTAGTGATCTGTTGGATATATATATATATATATATATATATATATATATATATATATATATATATATATATATATATATCCTTGTATGATAGGATATAGGAGTAGTGGTATGCTGTTTAAGTACCATTAGGCTGGTTATCGTCTAGTGGAGTGCCCTTAGGGGATATCAGTATGTATGTAGCCATGTAGGATATCATGAGAACTCTTGATCTAGGCTTTCTTTCTTGTTCCTTGTTTGGTTTTGGCTCTAGTGTAGGATCATTTGTTCGGGTGTCCATCTCACCCCTGATTACATATGTCTATGCATTTTTTGAAGATTTGTTGGTAGTGGCATAGTGTGTTGGGAGAGGCCTAATATGCAGTAGTGAGTCTTCTCACTATAATGTAGGACACTAGGTGTCGATTGTGCATGATGTATTTCTGACTCTTTATGATGTGCTTATATGTTGTATGCATGAAGCCGATTTGGGCTCGGAGTCAATATGGACTCGCGGTTGATATAGACCCGATGGAGCCGATCTAGGCTCGAAGTCAATATGGACTCGGAGTCAATACGGACTTAGGGTTGATACGGATCTGGGGTTGTTATAGACCCTTTATAGATATGTGTTGTTATATTTGTGGTATGTGGTATTTTGGGGGAACTCACTAAGCTTTGGCTTAAAATTGTGGATTTAATGTTTTTCAGGTACTAGTGATGATCGTGGGAAGGCGAAGACATGACTGTACACATTCATCAACAACAATGGAGATTTCGTGTTCATTTTATTACTTTGAATTTTTAAAGCAAATGTACCTTGGAGCAAATGGTTTTCTTAACTTGTATGAAAAGTTTTACTTGAATTAAAAATGATTTTTTTGTGAAATTGGGATGTTACATCTGTGAACTTCCACTTAAGTCGGCAATGCTTATGAGTTATATGTTTTTCATTTAACTGCAAAAGTAAAACGCGTTGGTCAGTGAAGGTATATTGATCAATACGGGTGAGTTGGTAACAGGAACGGAAGAACTAGTGGGATTTGAGCTACCATAAAGCAAGAAATGAAGAATAGCGAAGTTCAGTCCATGAAGGAGACCTAAATGTGATTTTGGTTTGTCCTAAACCTCGTCTTATGACTATAGTTTGAAAATGAAAGTTATACATGGATGAGAATGTATGCACCTTCAAATCTAGGTGGTAAAGGATTTTGCTCTAATTCATGGAAATGGTTATGAGGAAACACTTTCACAAGTAGATTTTAAGGATCTTATAAAAATCAATACGGATATTAGATTTATTAGTTACATTCTTAAATTCACAATATTATTATGACATCCCTCTATATATTTCGAATTGTGAGGAATGGCAAGGAATTGTTTAAACTTTCAGGAGATATGTTTATCACGTCTTGAAAGGGTTTGAACATATACATTATCCCGATAAAGTGCATAAACTTAAGAAACCTAATTAGAGGCTTCACGAAGCTTTGGGAAATAGGAATCTGCACTTCCATGAGAAAGTCAATGGGTATTGATTTCTAGAAGTTCAATTGATTTCTGACTACATGTCAAAGCCAGGGGAGCTTAATTGTTATGCTGGTATTGCATGTTGACAATACTCTTCATAAGGAACAATGGCTCTAGTTTGCAAGTTGCAAAACTTGGGAACTGTTTCGTTGTAGTGGACTTAAGGGGGAGGCACTCATACTTCGTTACAAATCTGAAGGTTTAGATCGTATTGTTTAATAGAACTTAGTCAAAATCATATATGAATAGTGTTTTGAAATGTTTCAACATAGAAGATTTTATATGGAAATATTATAGCAAGAGATTGAACAAATATCAAATTCGTATATAAGATATAATGAGTCGAGTCTCATATGCTTCGGATATATGATCGGTTACATATGATATAATTGTAACGTCCCCAAAATTCATAACTAAAAAAATTCATTTTTAGATTCGATAAAACCACCAACCATTCATTGTTTACAGAAACCCATAATGTGAAAATCAAAGTATAACGACAATCATCCAGAAATACATCAGAGTCAACATGTGAAAATCATGGGTGCGTGCGATGCGATCAACCCGAGCTCTTCCCTTTGGAACCGGAAGTACCCGAAACATGCTAAACATAAACCGTAAGCACAAAGCTTAATGAGTTCCCCAAAATACCTCATACTATACATATCATGCATACATACATATATTGGGCCCTGCCCGTCATCGGACCCTACCCGGTACATTCATCAGGCCTCGCCTGGTATACATACATACATAGACAACACATGCAAAAGTTACAAAGACAACTAGAATACTATAACATAATCTAATGGGCCGATATTGGTGCCTTCGATCCGCAAGTACTGTGAAGAGATTCACCTCAATCCGCTGAAAAGATATTTGAACTGATCACAACTCCAACTGCTGACTCTACAAGTCACCTATACATCAACCAATGACCTAGTCTCAAACTATAGCTCAAAATACCTAAATACCCCTAGGTCACACTTGGTCAAAATCATGGTCAAAGTCAACGGTCCATGTCAGTTGGACAGGTCACCACGTCGTGCCCTCACATTGCCATGTCGTGAGTGCTTCTCGACAAAATAGTCGGTTTTCCCCGGTCGCCACGTCGTGGCATCCAAACGTCATGTCGTGGGAACTGGGTTCCAGCAGCTTAATAGGTCTAGTCCTTAGTCCGTTAAGCCCTTTCCTTCCAACCTTCCAGAATCCTTACTAAGGTCTAAAATATTCCAAAGATCATTGCTTTTTCAAACATACATGCCCAAAACAAGTCTAGATTCCAACTTACGTCAAAATGAAGCAATATCACTAAGAATCTCATGCATAGAACTCAAAATAGCATTAAAATCCATATCTGAAACTTATGATAGCAAGGGGACCTTAATAATCCATAAAGTTGCCAACTTTATGGACTCCATGCATTCCACTCACCCCAACATGAAAAAAATAAGAACAAAAACCTAGATCTAGCATGCTTGAAAGAGAAAGGTAGAAGCTTGACAACTTACAAAGGTCCAACAACAACACAAGATGATGGAAAGAATCTTGCTTGCTCGAAACAATACACCAATGGAGTCTTCTTCAAGAAAGAGCTAAAAACCACCCACAAAGGCCCAAATGAGCTCAAAAGCTTCAAAGGAGATTAGGTTACGAACTCAGAGGTTTAAGAGTGATGGAGGCTGAGGGTGAGAAACCATAGCCTCCCTCTTTCCTTTAAATACCCAAAAAATTAGGGTTTAACGATCCAACCGCTCGCCATGTCGTGGCCAACAATGTCACTTCGTGGGGGCTCATTAAAGTCTCGCGAACATTCTAGCATGGCCACGTCGTGGTGAGCCTTCACCACGTCATGGTCAACCAAAACTCAAGAATTATTTTTAAAAATTTTACCTTAGAGAAACTGGATGAGAAAGTGATAACTTAAAACTAATAATTATTTGTTTTTTTTTCATCATCCATAGCATGTTAAGCTTAAAACCGATATAAAGAATACACAAACATGATTGATGATGCCTACACTTAAGATGTGTCAATGCCTAGCTTGGAAGGTCGACTTATAGAATCAAGGATGAAGAGGGTAATTAGAGGAAGTGTTGGATTTTTCATTATTTTATGTTGAGACCAAATTAAACGAATGGTCCATGTGGTTTGGAATAATTTGTGCGTTTGTCGTTCGGTCTCTATTTTTAAACTTGAAATGTCCCTAAAATGTATTTTTGTTATGTGTTTGGTCATTATCAAACCTAAAAAGACTATATTGTCCTTTTTATACTTTATTTAATTTAATTTATTGTTTATTTATTTATTTATTGTTTATTATTTATTTATCAAAATAGATAAAATGTACAACCCCTTAAAGCTATATTACAACAACCATATTTTATACCTTTATTATATCAAAGCACCAATGAAAGAGTGAGACAATTTCCTCTTTTCCCATATCGTTCCTTTCTTTATACTCGTCGGAAACTCACCAGGCCTCATATCTTTCATATTTCTATCGCCGACAACATTCTACGCCCCCATCTTCGCGCCCCCAATCCTCCACCCTTCCTAAACTAATATAGCTCTCTTCCCTTTCTTTTAAATCAAGAACCCTAAATTAAAAGAAGCTGTAGTAAAGAACTTTGCCACAAACCATTGGTCCCTATAATTTTTTATTCTAAAACTATATTAGAAAAGAATGATAAAATTACAGTTTTGGTCCTTATGGTCTGTGTTGTTCTACATTTTATGTCAAAATTTTAAAGTTTTTATAAGAATACTAAACTACAGTTTTGTTCCCAATGGTGTGCACTATTCTGCACTTTAGGTCCAAACTATAAGATTTTTACGTGGATTCAATGTAGTTGGCAAAAATTGCATGTTTGTTCCATAAAGTTATTACCGTCAAGCATCTTCTATTAAATGTCAGTAAAATGACAATTTTACCTTAATTTTTGTCTTTTTTTCATATAAGTTTTTATTATATAATTATTTATTATTCTTTTAATAAATATATTATCTCTCCGCTTCTTTCTTTAATTACTTTGTGTGTATATCTAAATTACGTAAATCCTATTACAAACCAACATTTTGTATAATTCTATTAATTTACAGTAAAAGGTAAAAAACTAATAACTCGCTGCACCTCGTACATAAGTTATAGTCGACCAAAATTTTGACGGTGTAATCAATAAATAATTAAAGAACATGGTAGAGTAAGTACTCTTATGTGACGTGTCAATAAGGAAAACGAAAAATAAGATAATAAGCCATGTCCAATATATTCCGCACATGTTTCTAGTGATAAAAAATGAGCTCTAGGACTGCGGCTTGCATTGAAAACGTGCGTTATATAATACTAGTATCCCAACGTGTTTCAACGGTTTCTACTCCGTTTCACCGGTCCCCATATAAACACAGCCATCCTCCAGTCTTCACCATCTCCACCATTCTGCAGCCATGTTTTCTCTCTCTCTCCTCCAGTTTCTCACTCTACTATTCATACTTCTGTACTTGTTTTCTTTGCTTCGGATCCTGGTAGCGTCCGCCACCAGCAGCAGCAGCTCAAGTAACGGACATAAGTCATATCCGTTGATTGGCTCTCTTATTTCTTTCCACCAGAACAGCCACCGCCTCATCCACTGGTTCACCCACCTCCTTTCTGTCTCACCATCGCAAACCATCGTCTTGAATCGACTTGGATGGAAGAACAAGATGATCATCACTGCCAACCCTGCTAACGTTGAGTACATTCTCCGAAGTAACTTCGAAAACTACCCGAAAGGGAAGCCTTTCACCGACATCCTCGGAGACTTTCTCGGAATGGGAATTTTCAACGTCGACGGCGAGCTATGGAGCACCCAACGTAAGTTAGCTAGCCATGAGTTCAGCACAAAATCGTTGCGTGAGTTTATGATCAGTGTTCTTGAAGAAGAAATAACCACAAGGCTTATTCCATTGCTGGAAAGCTCGATTGAAAATGGCGGCGTGTTGGACATGCAAGACGTTCTCAAAAGGTTAGCTTTTGATACCATATGTAAGATCTCTCTTGGGTGGGACCCGTGCTGCTTGGATTACACCCGCCCTGTTCCCGCGCTTGCCACGGCGTTTGATGTGGCGGCGGGGGCAAGCGCAATGCGTGGCACGGCGCCGGCGAACTGGGTGTGGAAGGCGAAGAGGCTGTTTAACTTCGGAAGTGAACGGAGGTTGAAAGAAGCTGTCGGAGTCGTACATTCTTCAGTGACTGAGATAATCCGTGAGCGGCGAAAGCAGATGGCCGGAAGTGAGAGCCGGAGAGATTTGTTATCCAGGTTTATATCCGCCGGTCACGGCGATGAGCTCGTGAGGGACATGGTGATAAGCTTTATGATGGCTGGAAGAGACACTACATCGTCGGCGATGACATGGCTCCTTTGGCTGCTGACATGGCACCCCACCGTGAAGAAAAATATTCTTGACGAGGTTGCTACAATAGTCAACGATCACGACCAGTCAAATAAGTCACAATCATTAAACTTTGAAGATTTGAAGAAAATGGATTATTTGAAGGCATGTTTATGTGAATCAATGAGGTTATACCCGCCGGTGTTGTGGGACTCAAAGCACGCCGGAGATGATGACGTGTTACCGGACGGGACGCCGGTGCACAAGGGCAACAGAGTGATGTATTTCCCGTATGGTATGGGAAGAATGAAATCATTATGGGGAAAGGACTGTTTGGCGTTTAAACCGGACCGGTGGTTTACTGAACCGGGTGTGTTAAAAATGGAGACCCCTTATAAATTTCCGGTTTTTCAAGGGGGACCAAGGGTGTGTCTTGGAAAAGAGATGGCGTTTATGCAGATGAAATATGTAGTGGCTTCTGTTTTAAAACGGTTTGAACTAATTCCGGTTTGTTTAGAGAAGCCGGTTTTGTTGCCAATGTTGACGGCTCACATGGATGGCGGATTTAAAGTTAGGGTTCACAGAAGGAGTGACTTTGACCCTTTGTGAACATAGCTTGTTTTTGCCGTGGGATGGGTTTTTAATTTGATCAATCAACGGTTATTGTAAACTAGTTTTTACCCTTATAAATATTAATTGGGTATTATTTGTAAACTATATACATTTCTTCAAAAATATAAATAAAATAAAATATGTACTATCAAGTATCAATACCTTCATATAAAATATTAAAAAAAAAAATTGTTGTTTACACGTAAGCCGTGATTCAATATAATTAAGTTAAAGTTTTCTTTTTCATCACAACTTCAAATTTGTTGTTGCATGTGTTATTTAAAGCAAATATAAATATATAATATAAATGATTTGTTTTTTTCTCTTTGAATTATACAATTCATGTAAAAAAGTAAATGTCATCTACGACCCTATGCACCAACCAGATTCGTTACCACCAGGGGTAGGTAATGTGTAATCAATCACAATATTTTAAGGAACAAGGAAAATGACGTCTACGTTTAACATAGTATTTTATTTATGAGTTTTTAAAGACTTAAGAGTTATATATATATATATATATATATATATATATATATATATATATATATATATATCTTAAAATACAACTATACAAGGACTTCTGGTGTTTGAGCTAAAACTGCAACAAAATGACTAAAAAGCACGTTCCTCCAAAAAAGCCTTTTCGTATTCGAACATTTCGTCAAAAGGTAAAATGTTACTTTTATCCATCTCTCGGGTACTCCTTTCTTCACTTTTCAATCTTCTACTGATTTTGACCACTCTTTCGTCTTCTTCTTGTTGCATATCTTTATCTTCACATGTCACTAAATTACAAAAGAAAAAGTTGTTTTCTTCATATCCAAGGGAAGTAGGCAACAGCGATATATCAAAACTTAACCATAAATACATACATGTAAGCACCAACTATGGCTTGGGAAGCTTGATAAAAGTTCTAATCCTAAATACATGAGTGTAAACACCAACTGTGGCTTGGGAAGCTTGATAAAAGTTCTAATCAAGTTCTTATAAATTATTTGACTCATTATATGTTTTTAATTCATATATATGTGCTTGAGCTTAAATTCGACAAAATTCAAGTTTATTGAGTTCTGATCGAATTCAAGCATAAATAAGCCAACAATAACTCAAATCTATGGACCTAGACTCACTTCGATGAAAGTATTATGGTAGGATGCGAACAAAATATTTAGCTTAGTTTGGTTTACAACTTGGCTAATCTTAATCAAAAGAATAAAAGAAACAAACAAAAAGTTGTAAGACAGCTGTTAGTATGCATCTTTGCAGCTGTGATATTATAATCCCTTTCTTTAATTGGCATGGAAAATTAGAAATCATGCAAATGGTAGAAAAAATGTGCATATCACGAATAACACGCTTACCATGCCTTCAAACTCTACCAAAAATGTATACATGTCAAAGATCAAAAATATTTTAATAAGTACATATTCAAATGCTTCAAATTCTGCAAATCGTTTTATTGTTTTTATAGAAAAAAATTTGTTATCGTATTTATAAAATTAATTATCCATTGGAAGAAATCCAAATTGAAAGTGATGGGTATTGTTAAGTATTGGATGTTATAGAGATTTAGGAATTCGGTGCTTTTTTGACACGGGAAGTTTGAGGAAGAACGAGATTGTAGATAATATTATTCTTTTTTCCTTTCGTTGTTGTCGTTTTAGAATGTCTAATTGTTGTGTTAGTTGGATTGATTGGTTAAAAACCCCTTGTAGTTTTTTTATATAGTCTAGCGTTGTACTAGACATGTGTATTTATATATTTGGTTGTTCAAAAAAATGAAATTAACTATCTGACATAAGTTATAAAGAAACACATTATCAAAAGGTGTTGACACATTAACTATGGATATTGACCCTACTAACCCATCCGACTCTTAGAATCAAGAACTTAGATAAACACAAACATGCCAATGAAGATGCTAAAGAAACGATAAGGATATAAAGATTTAATGTGGTTCACTTGATCATAGTAATAAACATATATCCACATGAAAATTCCAAAAATATATTTATTGATAATCAATGATACACACTTTTGCATTGAAAAACTATTTATAATAAATGTTTGACCTAATTTCTTTTTGATTGGGGCTTATGGGCCTATGAAATCACCGAATTAAGTTGGTTGGTGATCGTACATGGCAGTCTTGGTACCTAAGTTACTACGTCAATCTAAAGTTCATAGTTAGGACTACTTCTTATCATTAAAGGCTACAACAAGGTGTATACTAAAGGCGAAGCTCGAGTGATGAGCTCCACGACCTGTAGACATGCTTTGGTGCTTAGCTTTACCACCAAGCCTTCAACTACGCCTCTTAACTTCGTCTGAAGTTATACTTCTTGGTTGCGCTTCTGACCTTGTTTGCAACCTTGATCTCGAAGCTTCTTCAAATGCAACACTCAAAAAACTTTGTCAAGCGAATTCACCCCACGGCTTCGCTCTATGGCCAAAGCTTTGCACCAAAAAGTTCTTGTTGGAAGGTTTAATAAAAATTATTTATTTTTATTAAACTTTGGACACATTTAAATATAAATATATTGTATATTTTTTATTAATCCTTGGTGGATTATGTTCTCCTCCGTGAGAGCTTCGAAACGTTATATGTTGTGTCCAAAACGGAAAATGTGTGAATGGACATCGATGCTCAAATATGAGTATTTGAAAATAAAGTTAGCAAATAAAGTGGATGTAGGAATATGTCTCACATAGGAAAGGGGAACAATCTCTTAGTGGGTTTATAAGCATAGATGTGTAATGGGTTTACATGCTTCTATGTATGATTTTACTCTAACACATATGCGCGCACGGGGGGAGTGCGAATCATGGATTTTGTAGACAAAATTCAACGAACTCGTGTGTGGGCGCAACATGCGGACACGACTGCAAAACTTCGCGTCCGCACAAGCCATGTTTTTTCATAACTTTATAGTTTTGGTCCATGATATAACTTTTATAACTGATGCATTTGATGTGAGTTAATTCATAATTAATTCATTTAATTTTGAATTAATGAATGTAGTTACAAAGTTTGGTATATAAAGAGACATTGCCTTCTCATGTCTGCACACCTTGGTCGAATACTCTCTTCTCCTTTCTCTCTGCATACAAATTCCGACAAACTTTTCAGGCAAGTGGTCAGATCCGTCAGTGCATACTGCTTCGGCTGTTGTACCCTGGGAACAGACGGCGAATCTATTTAAGGGGATCGTGTCAAACATGAGCATCGGTCAATCAACGTTATAATTGACTAATTATTTATTTTGTAGATTTATTATCGAAAAGTAACAATCTTAAACAGAATCTCGCTAAAACTATTTTAATCGAGTGTGTTTCGATTAAATCTGTTTTCTTCTATTTTATTTTTTATTTCTACTAATCTTCTTATATATGCTTTGTGTAAACAATTTCATTTATGTTTATAATGATTTGTTTGAATATTAACTTTTCAGAATATTAACTTTTCAGAATGACTGGACCATCTGAAACACCGAATCCTCCACTTGTGAACCAGAATGCTACCCCACCTGTACCAAACACCATTGCTAATCATGTTGAAAGGCCAGAGAAGTTTTATGGTCTTAACTTCAAGAGGTGGCAACATAAGAAGTTCTTCTACTTGACCAATTTAAACTTGGATCAGTTCCTCACAGAAAATGCTCCCTAAGTTGTTGAGGGACAATCTGACGCTTAGCCTGTGAGCGCGGTGGAGGCTTGGAAGCACTCTGAATTTTTGTGTCGAAACTATGTGTTGAATGGGTTAGCTGATGAACTTTACAATGTCTATTGCAGAGTTGAAATGACTAAGGAACTGTGGGAATCATTGGACCGAAAGTATAAGACTGAAGATGATGGAACCAAGCAGCATGTTGTTGCAAAATTCTTGGAGTTCAAGATGATTGACTCGAAATTTGTTATGATTCAAGTCCAAGATCTTCAAGTGATTATACATGATAACCTTGCAGAAGGGATGGTTCTAAATGAGCCTTTCCAAGTTGAATCAATCATTGAAAAGCTTTATCCCGGTTGAATAGACTTCAAGAATTACCTTAAGCATAAGAAAAATGAGATGATTGTGGAGGAGCTTATGGTGTGTCTTTACATTGAAGAAGACAATCAGATGACCTTGAAGAAAGGTGGTGGTGTTGAATCCTCAAAGGTTCATATGGTGGAAGTTGGTCAAGCTTCCAATAATAAAGGCAAGGGAGCAAACAAAAGAAAGGGAAAGGGTAAAAACCTAGGATCTAAAGATGGAAACTTCAAGAAGAAGTTCAAGTGCTAAAACTGTGGCCAACTGGTCACAAAGCTTCAGAGTGCCTGCAACCAAAACGGGATAATCCTCGTCAAGAAAACATGGTGAACGATGATATGGATCAGTTGGTGGCCATGATTACGGATCTTACCACCATGGTCTCGGAGGTGAACATTTTGGATACTAATTCAAGAGAATTATGGATCGATACCGGAGCTACTTGTCATGTGTGTCATGACAAGAGCAATTTCAACACCTACAAGGATGTTGATAATGGTGAGAAGCTCTACATGGGAAATAAACCCACCACAGATATCAAATGTGTTGCCGATATTGTTCTAAAAATGACATCGGGGAATGAGTTGAAGCTTAGGGATGTTTTGTATGTTCCAGAACTTTGTAAAAATCTAGTGTCATGTGGTTTGTTGAATAAGTTTGGTGTTAAGCTTGTGTTTGAGTCGGACAAGTTTGTTTTGTCCAAAAGTGGTATGTTTGTGGGAAAAGGTTATGTTATAAATGGCATGTTCAAAATGAATGTAATGGTGACAAACAAGATGAATGAATCAAGTACTAGTTCTACTTGTATGCTTGAGTTTTTAAATGTTTGGCATGGCCGTTTAGGACATGTAAATTACAATACTATTCTTCGTTTGGTTAAAATAAACTACATACCAAAACTTGATATTGAATCAAATCACAAATGTCTCACTTGTGTTGAAGACAAACTTACTAGATCATCTTT